TGTATTTTTTCCCTATAAATACCTAACCATTTTATTCACTTTCTACACCAAATCTTCATAAAAACTCATCTCCTTCCAATATTTTTCACTTTCCACATCAAAATCTTGGCAACGAGGTAAAAAAAAAAATAAAAATCCGTTTTATTCAATTTAATGTCTTTTTTTATATATATATTTCTTGCTTTTCCATTTTTTTTTTTTTTAATAGATTAGTCAAGGCAAAACCAAAAATGTTATTCGAAAAATTTTATCCAAAAATTTTATTTGAAAATTTTATTCGAAAAATGTTATCTTAAATTTTAAATGAAAATTTTATAATAAATAGTGACACGTGACAACCGAAAATATAATCTAAAAAGCTTATCAAAATTAATAGTTTAAAGTATAAACAAATAGGAAATAAAGTACAATGAATAGTAATTGCCTTAGACTTGCCCTAGACTTTACCCTCATGGGTGGAACCACAAATGCAAAGGCTGACACTATTCATGTGAATAGTGACAGCCCTTGCTTGCCCTTGCCTTAGACTTAGCCCTTGTGGGTGGAGATGCTCTAATAGCAAAGGCTCTATGCGGTACAATGGGGGATCGGAATACATCTCAACCTTCTGTCGTCGCCGATCTGCTCACCTCCGGTCAAGATGCTCAGATCAATCCGTGGATGATGGTTTCACGCAACCGTGAGGTCCTGCAGAATATGTGGGAGATCGAGAACTCTCTACGCGAACTTTGCGAGATCTGGGCGAACTGGGCGAGATGGAGAAATATCTAGCCTCACTTTGCGCCCAGCAAATCCAACTGGCCGATTTGACGAAATCAATGTCGGAGCAGCTTCGCTCACTACCACGCAGTCGACCTGAAACGGCGGCGATTCCAAATTCCACGGTGTATAAGGCCGTTAATCCTTACCTAAGGTCAGTGAATGGCTTAGTGGATTTCATCTTCTTTTCTCTGTAGAATTGTTGATGTTTTCCTCTTTAAAATTCTGCTTAAATTTTCTCTCGTTGCTGCATGCATATTTAATTATTCAAAGATTTTTGCTTGAAATAATAACCAGCTCCTCTCTGTTTCTTTGAGGCTTTTTCTTGCAAACTGTAGTGTGTTATTTTCTGAGGAATCGGATGTTATATTTTGCAGTTCTGATTATTTATATATTTACTGTTTGTATTTATTAATTCTAGGTGTTTGAAAAGCTTAACTTTACTTGTTGTATATATCTTCTCTGTCCAGCTTGCCCAGAAATCATGCATCAATGACAGTAGATCCAGAGGTAGCTATTAGATCTGTATATTTATTTGTGTGTTTTGGGAACGAAGAATTAACTAATGCAATCTATGAAGTGAAGTTCAAACACGGAGGAGTCGCTAGTGAACCCCTGGTTGTTGAATTAGTTAACAGGTTCTATGAGGGTGAGAAGAATGAGAATGTTGGCACGCGGGGGGCTGTACGGTTTTTCCACCTCTCCAATTTATACGTCCCTACAAAGGATGGTGGATATATTATTGACACAAAGACTATGTCAAGATCTTCATCTTTTCCTCCTACCCTAGGCTATAAATCAGTTCCTATTTTTGTGTCTGCATATGACAAGCTGTATTGTCTTGCAAGTCCATTTTCCATCTCACCAATTCTGGAGCCCTCCTTCGAGAGATTTGATCCTGATACGAACATGTGGGAGAAAATGCCGCCGTATCCATTTTATAATGATTATGAAATCCACATGAATATAACTGGTTATGCCGTTTGTTATGGCGTTATTTTGTTTTCATTGTGTAGCATAAAAGAAAATAATTTCGATGTCGTTGCATTTCACGTGGGTAGAAAACAATGGAAGCCAGTGGAAGTTGATGATTCTGTGTATAATGCTCCTTTCCGAGGAAGGGCTGTGGTTGTAGGCAAAACTATATATTCCTTACGTCAGGGGGAAGTTATAGCATTCTCCTTGGGGCTGGACAAAGATGATAACGGTGGTGTTGTATATACCCTAAACCAACTGTTTGTATTGCAAGGCCTGGAGGTTGCGGAGCCACTGTTCGCATTTGATTTGTGTTGGAGTGAGTATTTGGTTCATTTGGGGAACAATGACTTTTTCCATGTCAAGACTGAATGTGGCATTGACACGGTTCCATATCTTCGTACCACCACGTTTCAAATTGTTGTTGGAGAAGGAGGAAGACATATGATCAAGACCATACATTCAAATGTTCATTCTTTGGATTTAGAGGAGATTGAATGGTTCAATCTTTTTTTCTGCTTCACGCTGTAAGTTTCCATCACGTTTCTTGTGTTTTCATCAATAACATTAATTTGTCCGTTGGAATTCTGTTTTCATTTTGTATGTAACGAGGTTTCTCATTATGATGACTCAGTGAGTGCGGAGATTATGAACCTAAAGAAGAGGAGAGCGTGACTAGTATGAATCAGCCAAAACAAGTGGAAACCAGCCTGGATGATAATTGTTCTGTGGTGAAACAAAGGAGAATGGCAAAGGTGAAATCTTTTTGTTTATTTAATGACCAATGAATCAAGAGACTCAAATTTTTTTCATGTGTATTAGTGTTTTTATTGACCTTTGAGTCTAATTTCTTGTAATATAATTGGGTTTTGCAGAAAGAAGCTAGGCATGGAATAGCTGCCAGGAAAATGGTATTAAATTTTGAAACAGGAAATTGGGAGGTTGGCTGTCGGGCACCGTGAAAGAGTTTATGTGATAAGTAAGAAAGTGGTGATGTTTATTAGTTGGAAAATAATGGGTGTTCATCTAGAAGTGGCCATTCCCGAACATGTTATTCATGTAACATTGCTTGCTTTTATTTTAGACCTTTTGAACTTGTAAGGATTATACTTGGGTGTGAGTTCACTTAATTTCTTCAAGAATTTGGAGGGTCTCCTTTAAGTTGTAACATTAGCATGTAACCCTGGAGTATCTTTTTTCTTAATTAGTGTTCTCCCTTGGGTCTCTACATTGTACATTGTACAGTGTACATTGTTCCTGGTCCTACCTACCCAGAAACCAACTCTGATCAAAAGAAATTAGTCTCCCTAAGCATTTTCTTTGACTCGTTTCACTCTGTTAGCAAGATTGTTGACTCAAAAATAAATTCTGAATTACATTTAGGTTTTATGTTCATTCTGTCCCTTATTTGTTCTATTATATAAACAAGAGAAGGCTAGTGACTTAGTGGATTGAAGAATGTGTGCCAAAAAAAAAAAATTGTATTTTGCACAAATGAAGAATATTTTCTTCCAGAGAAGACAAACGATATCTGTTATTTCCACCCACTCTTGATTAAGTTCGTATTAGAAGAAAATGCAGAAAAAACATTGATTATAATTATGTCAATATCTACAGCAACATGAGCTGCAGTTTCTTTCTCAGTTCTCAGATATTCAAAGGAGTTTCCAGGCAACCACACAAAAATCACTAGCCAATAAAGGCTTCATTTAGACGCACTGTTACTTGGAGTCGGGATTGAGAAGATGTTTGGTAATTTTCTTTGGAATGCTGAAGGAGGATCTGTATATTTTCTATGCTGCTACTATGCAATTACATGGACTGCATTAAGGCTTTGGCATGGTTGACAGCATGAGAAACACAAGCATGAAACAAATGGAGGGAAAAGACAACCATATAAGTTGTAATTGAAACCATGCTGACGTGTCACATACTGTTGCATTGACTCAGCTGCACCAAAATGGATTCAACTACATTCTCAACTTGTGATACTCGCAAGTGCATGAGCCGTTGGTAGTTTAGCATATGTAAGTGCGAGGTCGATTTCACAAGGATCGGTGATTGAATGATCCAATTCAATTTCGAAATGAAAACAAAAGAACATAAAACAAGAAGGAAAGAAAATAACTACGACAAGATGGTGAGGTTTTAGAATCCTCCCTAATTGTTCTACTCATGTTATAGTAGCAAGTAAACAAATTGATTCAAAGGAAATGCAAATAGCAAGTGACCAGCAAATCGATGTTTAGAAAATTTGAAGACAATGAAACAAGCACTAGGGGTTCAACTTCACCATGACAATACAATTTCAAGCTACAAGTTAAGAATCACCTAAGTTGATTAATTCAATTTCTGGAGTTCGTTCTTTCTTATGTATGATTATCCATATGGTGTTTGGTTTTAATCAAGTACTCAGAAAAACAACTTAGCTATGGTGTTTAGTCTAAGCTATGAATCTGAATCCATTAAGCTTAAGAAGAACACTAAGGAACTAAGTAAACATTTAAACATGGTGTTTGTCCTAAATGCATTACCCACTCATTCACTAATCAGTTCAAGAGTCATATGGTGTTTATGTAAACTTGAACTAAATAACCAACATGCAGATGTTAATAGTGGCCAGTTATTTAAACATGCATAAATATTCAACTAAGAACAAGTGAATGAGACCAGAAAATTAGAAGTAATCAACAAAAAAGTAACATTAACTTGAAAACATGAAACAGTCTTGTCAGGTTACATTGAAACCCTAGCTATGGATTTAGCTACTCATAATGGGAAAGAAGTTAAGACAGAAATTGTTTGGGCCAAAAGAAATTGCATGCCAGCCCACTTCTCACAAAGGCTCACAAAACAGAAAGGAACAGAGGACTGGGCTTTGATTACCAAAAAGAAGAGAAAGCCCAATCCACGTTAGAAACCCACGACTTTTTCGAAAATGGTAGAGTTGTAAAAAACACCAAATTAAATGGTACTTACAATTAAGCAGATCGATGAAAGAAGAATTGAATTGGGCCCAATCTCCAAAAATCTACCATTTCTCTCAAAAAGCCCAGGAACAATTTCGCAGATTTTTCTTGAAAAACCTGTTCTCAAGGAAGCCTACGTAACTACCTGACTTTGAAAAGTCAACAATTTCAACTAAAGTCACAAAGGAATTCGACAAGGAATTAGTGAAGGCGCACGTACATGAAGATTTCCTCAGTCTATCACAGACAGAGAAAAGATCAAAATTCTTTTCTATATACAGAAAAATTCGGCAGACATTATTTCCAAGGGATAAGCAGGTAAGTAGGAAAGCAGGGAGTTGTTCATCTGGAAGATCAAACTAACCATCACAGTTTGAGTTCTTACAAAGAGCAGTTAAATTTGAAGAAGGGTTAGGTTTTCTTTCAAGAAAAATAGGGAAGTGATTGCCATAAGAACTGACTACTGAGAGCTTATCTGCCAGAATTGATAAAAACCCATTTCCTTTGCATTTTAAAATGAGAGATCTTTTGAGAAAATCTGCCACCCATTTTAAGAATCAGAGACTTTACTCCAGCATTTCTTATAAATATAGGAGAGGGTGAATAGAAGAAAGGGACACAACAAAAACAATCAATCAAACAACCAAAAAATCAACCCAAGACAAGAACTCAAAATGATCACTTGATCCTTAAGAACCATCAAACAAACTGAAGCAATCAAAAGCTCATTCAAGCCACAGAAGAAGCCAGCTATAAATCAGAACTTCCAAGTTCAGACTTAGAAGAATAAGTCATTCAGAACGAGATTCCTCTCGTTACAAATTTGGTTCAACAAAAGCCAAGACAAGTAGAGTTCGAGTTCTCACAAATATGAAAACCTCAACAAATTTATGAAGAGCCCTGACCAAGCAGAACAAGTACCATAGTGCAGTTCCGGCTCAGTAATCCTCAAGTCTAGCCACTTTTGCCCGTTCAGACTAAAGAAGTTGCAGTTCTACCCGTTCAAAAAGCCTTCCAGGGCTTGAAATAGAATAAAGCTTTGCCAAAATCAAACTTTGGTATCGATTTACAGCTGAAGCTTAGCAGTTGAAGTTGTTGACAGTTCAGTCCAGTACAGACATACTCAGTCCAGCCCAGATCAGAAGCTTCTATCCAGGTAGAAATGGAATTCCAGCCATCTTTTTGCCTTTCTAGAGTTGATTTTTTTCTTTCTAAGCCTTGAAAAAGGCAATTCTGCCTAAAACAGTCCACTTTATTATCATTTATTCTAGCTAGAACTACCAATTTTGTACTGTGATAAAATTGTGAAGTCCTCACCAGTCTGAGGCAGGAAAAGAACTTATTGAGGAGATATTCCTCACCCAAATTCACAATCACTTGTTTAGAAATTAGTAACTTGGGGCACAAGTTATTTATTTTTAAGAAGTCTGCTAGAATTGTTATTGCTAGCAGTGGCACGCTCGCACACTAAAGAAAGTTGACTTGTTGACCAGTCAATGGTTCTCAAGGTAATGAGGAACTTTACCTTTCCATCACAAGAACAAACATAAAACGGGTGAACAGAAATGAGAAAACATAATGAATACAATAAGAGTAGAAAAACCCTTTTTCTGAAGTTCTTGTGGTGTCCAAGGCTTCTCCAAGTGCTTCTCCATGTCTAATGCTTCTCCAAGAGCTTTCCCATATCTAGAAGGATGTATGACAGCTAAGGAAGTAATTTGGGTTGAGTTTGGGTGAGTTGTAATGGCAGAGCAAGAGGAAATTCGTAGGAAAATGGAAGAAAGGCTTGCTGGAGATGTTTTTGGTGATTTGAGGCTATTTAGAGTGTTGGGTTGATTTCTAGAGTGTTTGGGTTTGATGGGAGAGTTTTGAGGATGGAATGGAGTGATTTGTGGGATTGTGAACCCCAGGATTTTCACACCTTCAATGTGGAATGGAAGTGGTATTTATAGGGAGAGGGAAGCGAGAAATATGAATTGAATATGGCTAATGCATACAACACTTGCAATTGAAAATCAATTTCTTGGCTACTACACTTCCCACCAGAATCAATACCTCATGCATACCTCATCATGACCAAGCTTCCCTAAAGAAACAATAGCTCATGCCTAGCTCCTCATGACCAAGCATTAATCATTTCATCCTTAGGTCAGCATGATGTGTAATTTCATGGGCTCACGAATTGGGCTTGGCTTATTCAATTGATGAATTTGAGCTGTCCATCTTGAAGTTCAGAATGTCTCCTTTCCAATCACATGTGAATTGGCCTAATCCAAGCTCAGACAAAGATGGTAAGGCCGAAATGAATTTCTAACTCAATTTGCACGTTTTTGCACCATTTTGCTTCAAATGCCTCAAGTGGTACCTAGAGCTCAATGAACTGAATAACAAACACAAAATATATTAAAAGCACAATTTTAACTAAAAAACATAACTAAATCATAAGCTAGAATGGTACAAAATGATATACAAAATGGTGTTTACTTTAGGAGTCCTAGAAATCAAATCACATGAACCATTTCTATGTAGTTCACGAGTTGTTAATGGATGGAATGAAGATGATCCCCAAACCTTCCCAACAAAACCATAATGCATAAAACCTTAGGTGATCAACAAAAGGATGTGAAACAGGTCCATTAAAACAATGAAGAAGAATTCATGAATGAAATCAAACTTTATAAACTCAAACCATGATACAAGACCAGGAAGATGTTTATTAAAACTAATGACATGAAAACAAAGCAAAGCTAAGGAATACAAAAAGAAAATAAAAGGCAAAGGGAGGAGAAGAAGATAAGGATAACATGCTAGAGATGGAAAAACTTCATCTCCATAGCCAAAAATGGGTTTGTCTTTACTCTCTTATTCTATTGATCCAAATCAGGCCTTATCATGCTTGAATTGCATGAATTATGCTCTCTTGATCTATTGGCCTACAAAATACACAAAGAGAGGCAATTGACTCAGAATTCTATGAAACTAAGTGTTTCACCCGTTTTGATTTGGTTCCTGTGATGGCAGGGTAAAATTCCCCATCAACCTGTAAACCATTTATGGTCAACATGTCAACTTGCTTTTGTGTGCGAGCGTGCCACTGTTAGCAATTAAAAACCCTAACAGACTTAGAAAATGTAATAACTTGCGCCCCAAGTTACTGACTTGATCAAATGATTGTGAATTTGGGTGAGAAATATCTCCCAATTAAGTTCTTTTCTTACCTCAGGCTGGTGAGGACTTTCACAATTTATCAGTAAAAACAACTGGCAGTTCTGGCCAAAATAAAAGTTGGATAATAAGTCAAAATTGTTTGAGATAAAACTACTTATCACGCAATATTAAAATAAATAAAAGCTGCCAAGTCTGGAAATGGTTGGATTGATGATTTCTAGCCTACAGTTGCACAACAG